GGCCAGCCTCAGCATCTTCTGTTGCCCGAACCTGGCATGTGCCCAGGCATGTAGGCACGTAGGAATCTTTTTCTATGACTCAAACGCCCCTGTTATTTGTCTGGCCGATTGCCAGCCAATGCTACGGAATTAGGCCCCCAAATGTCTTGGTTTTGTGTGCTTTTGGGCCTGGAGGATCAACCCGCTGCACTTTGCTGCATTGTTTGGGGCCGACTTCAGCTGGCTGACGGCTCATAGGTTTAGGGCTTGGGTTTAGGGCTGGGGGCGGAATTGACACTAGCCCGTCAACATCCCCAGCATCGTTTTCAACATCCCCCGCATGTCCGACCAACATCCCTGGCATCACCAACAAATCGTGGGGTAACAAAATCGAAAAAGTAGCTGGCGGGTTGACGGGGTCAAAAAAAATGATGATTCAAATAGGAGGGCATTTCAGCCCCTGTAAAAACAATCTAAAAAGTAGCGGGGGGGTTGGGGAGCGGGGGGCGGCAGCCCCCCCCCATGATGTTCGCAGAAGTGATGATTCGAATAGGGGTGCAATTCAATCTCTGCAAAAAGTCTAAAACAAGCAGCGGCGGGGGGTTGGGGGGGGGCTGCCGCCCCCCCCATGATGTTCGAAGAATTGATGATTCAACTAGGGGTGCAATTAAATCTCTGCAGAAAATCTGAATCATCACTTATTCGAACATCATGGGGAGGAAGACCCCCCCCCAACCCACCCGCTACTGTTTAGATTGATTGCAGAGTAATTGCACCCCTATTTGAATCAACACTTCTTCAAACATCATGGGGGGGGCTGCCGCCCCCCAACCCCCCCCCCCGCTACTTTTTAGATTTCTTGCAGAGATTGAATTGCATCCCTATTTAAATCATCACTTTTTTGAGCGTCCAATTTCGCGATAACATGCTGCAAAATACGACATTTTAGTTAATCTGTGTAATCCATGTAGGTCTGTATGTATGCACTTCTTCGAACATCATAGGGGAAGCCACCCCCGCCAACCCTCCCGCTGCCTTTCAAATTCTATCGCACCCTTTCTTGAATCATGGCACCCCTGCTTGAATCATCACTTCTTCCGACATCATGGGGGGGGCGGCAGCCCCCCCCATCCCCCCCGCTACGTTTTAAATAGGGAGGAACTGGCGATGCTCATGATGCGGGAAGCCAAATTCAAAAACCAATGAAAGGGTGCAAAAGCCAGAATGCGAAAAGCCAAAGCCGCGGCTTTAAGCCGCATAAACCAGCAAAAAGCCGCAAAAGCCAAAACGCCACCTGCCGAAGAGGAACTGGGAATGCAAAGGATGCGAAAAGCCAAAGCCAAAAAGCCACCAAAGCCGCATAAACCAACAAAAAGCCGCAACGCCCAAAAAGCCAAGAAGCCAAGAAGCCGAAAAGCCAAGAAGCCGAGAAAAAAGAAAAGAAAAGAAAACCTAAAATACATACCCCTCCCTGATGATTTCTGGATTGATCAAGGGCAGCTCAGGGGATCCTCCAAAATCCAGCTTCTTGTTTGTCTGACCTTGTTGACCCTTGGGGTCTGGGTTATGATCCAGACCAGCCAAGCCAGCCCATCAGCTAGCAAGAGAGTCCTCGCAAGTCAACAGGAATCCCTCCAAACACCGGCACTAGGGCACCTCGTATCGCTCGCCGTCCTCTGAAAGAGACCACGCCCTTGCGGACCTATCAAGCCATGAGCCAAATGCTCCATGAATGTCAGGCTGGCTGGCCCGGAAATCCCTACCCCCTTACTCTGCGCCGTACTTGGATGCTGCCGCAACTTCGGTTGCTACGGTTGCCACTGCCAGTAGTGTTCGGCAGAGACGGGGGGGCGGAAGCTTCAAAATAAGAACATAGTTTGGAGCACGCGCCTTTCCCCTTCTCTCTCCCTCTCTCTCTCTATCTCTCTCTCTCTCTCTCTCTCCTTTTCTCTCTCTCCCTCTCCCGCTCTCTCTCTCTCTCGCTCTCTCTTTGTCGCTCTCTTACTCTCTCGCTCTCTCTCTCTCTCTCTCTCTATCCCTCTCCCACCAACAGTCTTCACGCGAGCGAACTGAAAAACGTGACAACTACGAGTTGTTGAGGGTCGACCCGCGAGCGAAGTGAAATCGGCAATAGAAAAATGTTGGGGGCCAGGCCACATTTTCTGCCTGCATCTATGTGTCTTGCTTTTGCGGATTGCATCTGGCCGTAAGATCACACACACACACAGGTGCATGCATTCTTAGAAAGAGCTACCTGAATTATAGTTCCAGTACTATGGAATTTCCTTCTAAACTTCCATTCATTATGCATGCAAAACAGTCATGAAACCGTCATGCGGCGTGGCACCCGAGAACTCTGAGTGCTGTAGCTGGAGATTCACCACCAGGAAAACATCTGGACTTATGAAACTCTCGACTGCGCTCCTGCGTGAAACACACATGATGGCTGTTGGATGCACATAGTTCGAACACTGGATCTCTTGGTTTGGCTGAGCTTTCGAACCGCTCCTCAAGACTACGCCATGCTTTCTCCTTCACCCTGCAAGGGGTTGCCCCACTCAGGTTCAGACACAGCTCTCTCGGTCAGATGAGCAGCTTCTTTGGCTGCCTCGGCGAGCAGACCAACCGGAGGGAGGGGCACGTGAGTGCTGATTGAAGTGAAGGCAGCACACGAGGCTCCAAAAGTCAACAGTGTTCCTGCATGCAAGCTTAACTCAAAAGCCAAGCTAAAAATCAACATCAGAGCACCAAAAGCAACTCAGGACCGCTCCCATGACACAGACGATTGCGGCTTGTGATTGAAAATGTCCTGGCTTGATGCGGGAGGAAAGCATGTCCGACGCAGAATGTTGGAGTACAGAATGCCTTTTTTCGGTCTTCAGCTCTCCTGCAAGTTCTAGTGCCAAAATACAAAAGCCGTGTGCAGACAAGCTGCCGCCAACGGTATCAAAGCCCGTACCTGGGCTCGGGGGGGTGCAACGAGAATATGATATCTAAACAAAGCAAGTAGTGTGCGCAAGCGCTGAGCAGATGAGAGCGCAAGGAACGGAGCTGGGACTTCCCGTGATCTGGGCCTGTTGAGCCCCCAGCATCATCCACGCAGAAGGATCGGCTGATCACTGTGCTGACCGCCCAGCCTCAAACGCTTTGCCGAAGCTTTTTGCTCATTGCATGCTGCAATTCTCAGCACTTCCCTGAGACCAAGACAAGCTCTTTCAAAAGAAACATCCGCAGTCTGAGACACCTCAAACGCCGGCTGCAGAAGCAATCTGTGAGTTTGGGCACACAGAAACATGTCCAGGAGCGTTTTGCCACTGTTGAGCCAAGCCACCCAGTTGGCTGACTGCTCGATGTGTTCCGAGTACGCCAGCATCTGCTCAACCTGTCATGGCCATGCAGCTGATGCCATGAGCATCTTCAATCCAAAAACCTTCTTCTGTGCTGATAGCTTTTCACATCAGCTGGTCCAAGGCTCACACTGTTGCCGGCCAACGGAGGCTGCACAGGACATCCTTTCCAAAATCAGGTTGGACAGTCTGCTCCACAAGATCATGCTGCCACTGGCCATGCCACAACACGCATGCTGGCGCAAACAGAATCCCACCCTGCAAACGCGCAATAAGCAGGTTCAAGCATCTTTGAGGTGCTGCTTTGCCAAGCCGGCTGAGAGTCACTTGGCTAAAAACTCTTTTAACTTTTGAGATGTTTGCGGACTTGTGACTGAAGCCTTGCCCTAGCCCAATGAGCTAAATGCCACATGTGCCCAGAGCATCATAATGGCTTAATGTCAATCGCTTCGGTCCTTTGGCCAAAACCTCAGTGGACACAATCCAACAAACGTGCGCTGCATGACAAGCAGCCCCTCCCAATAACAACGTACAGAATGACAGGAAACTAAGCCACACTGCTTTCGTACTCCACAGGACCACAGGACTGACAAACCAGGAACCCATAGGGCAACAGTCTAATAGTCTTCTCAAGCCTCCCCTTGCTGCGGCCTTGAATTAATATTTGAGATGCAAAGCAGGACATTATCAATCCTTGTGCTCTCTGCTCGGTCTGTGCTCGTAGCCGCCCTTTTGGGAAACAAATGGAAAGGAAGGAAGCTTCCACAGGGCAAGCACGTCGCTCGTTATACCGGGACGAGGACAGGATATGAAATCAGAGCAATGTTTCCATATATGGTTCCCACAGAATGTCAGCTGCACGGCCAAGAATTCAAGCACATTCAGAATACGCACCCAGCCACAGAAGAAACTCGTCAATTCCGGCATTTTCCAGCGCTCGCGGCTTACAACCTGGCACCTCTCACAGCTCAGACCTTGGCACTCGAAACTCTGCAGAGCAAGGCTGGGGTTCCTCAACTCAACAGTGGCAAGCCCATTTTGTATGGAAACTAAGGGGCCTGCGAAAGAGGCAAAAGCTGTTCGAACTAAGGCGTGAACGATTGAAGTGGCATGCGATATGTACTGCAAGCTGACTGTCAGCAATACCACCATGAGTGGACCAGTACGAGTCTCCTGCCTGCAACCACCACACAAAGTCCGTCCCGAAGTGGATCGTCGCCAATGGCGTCCTTCCTGCCAAGTCCTCTGTCAAGGCCTGAAGGGAAGGCTCCGACCAGCTGACTACTGGAAGGGCATGCGCAAAGTCAGGGCTGATTTTCTTCGGACGCAGTGTGATGTTAAAAATCGAGGATCCCCTAATTTGATGGATGTTACAAAAAACAAACTGCAAGGCATGACAACAACAGGTTGTAGCCTCCAAGACACCCTCGAAAGCCAGGTTGAACAAGTCATGGCCTGCAATGCGCTCAATTGGCCGAAGTGCTACAGTGCTGCCTTTCATGGATTTGTTTTTCCTGAGCATCCTGGCGGTTTCATGGACCTACATCTGTCATTTCACAAGCGCTTGGCAGCCATGGGCAGCCAAACCTCTTCCCGTTGGATACCTTCCCTTCTGTCACAGGGGCTCAAGCCAACGTGAGCTTGGCAAGGGCACCAAGCCTGCCAGCAGGCCGCCGGGTTTTACCTTCCCTCGCCAAAGTTGCAAATCTTGCAGCACCGCCCGGTAGCTGTGATCGCCTGAGACGACAGCTTGGCCCGGATGCCCTCTGCCCAAGAGAATTGGTTGCACGGCGAAGCTCGCAGAAACAACAAACAATAGGAACTCTGCTCTCATTTGACAAGTGCAATCTTTGACATGTTTCGACTTGGCGAGCGCAAGTTCTCCTTCACAGCACTTCCAGCTCAGTGGCCATCAATGAAAATGACATCGAAGGTGGCTGGCTGGAACCTGGCGCGTTCTTGGCCTCCGTGTTTACATGCCCATAATGCGCCAGCAAAATCCCGCAGCCCGACCCGCCAAGCTGACACCAACCAACAAAGACAGGGCTTGCTCGATTGCAACATTGCAGCATCGGAATGGGCATTCTGAACGTGTCTAAACAACATAGAGCCGGCGAAGCCGGTGGTCGGAAGTTTCCAGAAATAGCAGACATATGGTTCCCTTTATTTTCTCTGTTCTCTGTTATTTTTCGTTTTTCCTTCTTGTTTGTTCCTTCCTCGTTCTCTTTATCTCTCTCTCTCTCTCTCTCTCTCTTTGTCCATTATTGTTCTTTGTATTTCTCCTTCTTTTCTCTTTTCTTGATCTTTTTCGTTCTCTATATCTGTCTCTCTGTTGTCTCTTTTCTTTCTCTTGCTCTATCTTTTCTCTATTCTTTCTCTTTCTCTTTCTTTTCTGGTTTCTTTCTCTTTGTCTGTCTTTCTCTTCTCTTTTCTTTCTTTTTCTCTCTTTCTCCTCTATTCTCTCTTTCTCTCTTTTCTTTCTATCTCTCTTTCTCTTTCTTTCTCTGCTAAGGGTGTTGCCTGCCACGAAATCTACGCCTCACCTTCCGAAACTGCTGCGCCTGCCACGAAATCTGCGCCTGACCTTGCCAAAGCGCGGCGCCTGCCGCGAAATCCGCACCGGACCTTGCGCTGCGCCTGCCATGAAATCTGTACCAACCTTGCCACTACTAGCCGTGCGCCGAACCCGCGCCGCAACCGCGCCGCAACCGCGCCGCACCCCCACAGGCGGCGAGACAGAGGTGGTTGACATCAACGCAGGCCCGCAAAAAAAAAAAAAAAAGTCGCTCTTTTCGATTACGATTCCCCCGGCACACGCCCACGCATTCTTTCTCGCACGCATTCAGGCTTTCTTCCTCAGATCTGTGCGCTTGCTATCTGCATATGCTACTTTTCACATAGGCCATCTGATCTTGCACAAGCTATCCGCAAGAGCTATCTTGTCGCACTCGCTATCTAATCTGCTGAATCTATGTATCTGCGCCTTCTAAACTTCCTTTGGCATTTGACTGACGTGCACCAAACTTGCTGCGCAAGCTTGCCTGGGGGCAGCTGCCTCCGAAGTTAACCGCCACAGCCTGCATGTCAAAACAACTGTCTCTTGGATGAATTGAGCTGGGCCGCGAGGCCCAGCACAAAGGCGCAGCGGAAAAGGGTAGCCAAAAATTCAAGCCCATTGCACCGGTGCCTTTCCTTGCCCCCGATGCAATGCCTGGCACGCCCAGCATGCCGCTGCAGTCTGGTGGAGGCTTCTGCAAAGATGTCTTCGGCATCAATGTAGGGATCAACGCCATCCTAGGCAAACCCCCGGCTGACTAGGATGCAAACGAACCATGCTGGATGGACACATGGGAAACAACAGCCTAAAGTTTTTCAATGCCCCTAGCCACAGGGTAAGGACAGGACGAACTCCAAGTCCTGGATCTTGTTCAACAAATACTCCTTGACGCGGGACAAGCAATGAGAGACAGGACATGCGAGGACCGTGCATGGTGCAAACGGAAGGGGCAGCAGCACCACACCCTTACCCAAGTTCACGCCAGCATGATGGTAAGAAGTGCCAAGCGTCAGATGTGAGGGCATTGTTGACCTCAATCATTGCAGGGTGCCCTCTGGCAACTCTCAATAAGGCCGAGCAGCACTGAACTAATGCCTAGATCGGCCGAGCCGCACCCACCTCTAGTAACCGCAAGGGTCTTGAGCCACTTGTGGTGGCCAGATCTGTAAGCAACTGCGACAGCACATGGTAGCCTGCAAGCAGAGGTGTCGGCCAACATGTGCAGCAAAAATTGCTCATCAAGTTGTTGCAAGTCGATCGCTGTGGAGTTCTTTGCACATGGGAATGCCTGCCCAACCACCTTGTCCACAGCTCGTTTATCTTGCGTTTCCGCGCGTGTCAAGAATAGGGGGCCCAACGAACTGGCTGGGGCTCGGAAGACAAACAGCCACATTCCTCAAGCTCACAGAAGCTGCAAATCAGCAACTCCAATTGATGCGGCGTACGGCAGAAAAATCGCGTGCCCTGATTCAATCGCTGATCTGCTGTGATACGATGCTTGGCGGACAGGTTCAGGCAGGGAGGCTGGGAGTCATTGTGCAATGAAGGATCCTTTCACACCTTCAGTCCTACTGTCCAGGGTCCCCCTATATGCCTATATGTTTTTTTGCACGGCCACACCTCGTACAGACCCAAATTCAATCTTCAACAGTGGCCATGCTGCAACTGGCCCTCGACCCCATGATGCGCCAAGCAGCGCCGACAGCATGCTTCTGAATGGAACTCGAAGCGCGGCAAGGGTGGCTGCAGCCTGCACGAGGGTGAGTACAGGCTGAAAAGGACTCTTTGCCAGAACGCTCCGCTCGGATCAGCCTGTTGGTTTTTGCGCACAAGATCAGACAGGTGCCACCGCCTCTGCAGCAGCTGCTTGCCCAACAAATCCCGAAGCGTGGCCAAGGCCAGAAGCCTCATTTTTTTTGCTTAAGCTCACTTGTGATCATTTGCCTTCAACCACCTTGCGCCCAGCAAATATTGCCTCCGCCGCTCCAGGGCAAATGCAAGGGAACCTGGGGCAACACCTCCAAACAGACTTGTTGCTGACCAAAAGCTCAGCTTGAAGCAGGCAGTTCGCAGTGGCGCGGCGCAGCACCAGGTCATGCAAGGCCCCTGCTGCTTGCAAAGGGGCCTGCGACGCGCGTCCGATCGAATTCACGTCTTACAGCTCATATTATACATGCCCTGTTCTGGGAGCGACAAATCGACTGGGAGCCCAAATGTTGGTGGCTGCGGCTTCCTCCAGGTCTTCAGTCTGCGACCAGGCAAGAGAAAGACAAAGAGACTTGTCGATCTGTTCTCGATCTGTGCAAGCAAACGTTGCATCTGACGATCAACTTGGCAGCGGTTCGCCTTGTGAGGCAGCTTGCTTCCTTGGTTGCACACATTGCTCGGCACCCGGCCTGGAAGTTGCTTGCCTCCAAGCCAGATAGCACCTCAAATGCACATCCTGACGTTGCCCCCTGCTGTCTGCTGAGTCAACCTCCAAAGGACCACCTTTTTTGATTCTCACTTGCAAACCACGACCATACACCTACCTATTGGCGCAGGGGGCCCACCCCCCCCTTGTTGTACATTTCCGCTTCGAAAATTGGCTTGGGCAAAGTGGCCTCAAGCACGTGGAACAAAAGGCCTGTACATTTCTGAATGGGGGGTCGCCGCCTTCGTAAGGTTGCACCAAGCCCCCAAGAAGGACTTTGGAAGACTATCCTGTGGGTTCCCCCCCTGTGCTTCAACAAGCACAATGCTTTTGCACCAAGCACACATCTCATAAAGACGCCCACGTTGTCTCCTTCTACCCGTGAATTGCACACCCGCTATGGGTGCTGAAAAGCAAACATGGGCCGGCCTGTGTGCGCGCGCGTTGCTGGTTAGCCCTGCCGTGCCAGGAAACCGGAAAGCTGCGTGTGTCCCAAAA